TATATATATATATTTTACAAATTGTACATACAAATAAAAGCTCAAAGAAACATTGATGCTTGTACTGTATGGAAACTTTACAGCAAACATATCGACACAACAGTTATTCTGTCTTTGCCTGTTATTAAATATTGAACAAAGATAAAATGATTTCTATGTTGATGTGTCTGCTGTTGGAAAAATCTCTATATACATTTTTTTCACAATAAAAGTGTAATATAGACATAAATGTAAATCTGTTAAATATATTATGCTTATTCATCATTATAAACAAATATTACATACTTTATCTCCAGTATTTTGTTAAAATAATTTATTGAATGAAAACATAAAAATATATCCTGATTAGACGTATTCTGGACATGACAACAAATTAAAATTAAAATGTTATAAAAAATTAAAATTTATATACAGAGCAAGCATCTATGTTCTAATAAATATATTTATTAACTCTGGTGGCAAATCCGTAATTAATTCTTGCAGCTTCTTCTCGCACAACTGTGTTTCGCCGTTTATCTCAAGATTGTATTTCTTAAACAGCTCATCATTTTTCAGAACCACAAGAATATCCAGCAAAGGATCGCCAACGGCTATGATCGCTGGAAAATCTAATCGAGCGATGGTCTTCCGCAGTGGAATCTTCTCTACCATCTTTCGTATTAAAGAGTGAGTTTTAAATGTTGCTTCCAATATAGACATGTCAAGATACAAAACATTAATGAACTGATCTCATAAAAATCAAAATACACGTCAATCGGCAGTAAACTACTTACAAGGTTGGCAGAATATTTCGAATCATCCTAATTTGTGCTGAATAATAAATTATAGAGAATAATTATAGCTACATGGAAATTAAAGACTGGAAAGTAAAGACTGGAAAGTAAACTGTCTCCGCGAGGAACACACTAATAAAATTATCGCCGAATTGAACAAGATACAAAGCTCTAAAACTGTGAATTATAAAAGACAACCGAGTGAACAATTACTTCGCCTAAAATTATTTTCTCTTCCTCATGAAAATACGTCGAAAAGAGTCGCGCAACTTAAACATGCACATCGATTTTGTTCCATTCATTTCGGAAGTCACGCCTTGTCCGTCAGCAATTTACTCTATCGTATATGTCACATTTCTCACCATAACCTAAATTATTCCTGTATACAGAAAGAAATTTAAGAGTGGCCATCCCGGTCTTCCTTTTTCACGAAAAGCTTGAGGAGCAATGAGGGTCATAAGAGATACTGCGTACAAAAACACAGAGTAAAGCCTGATGTACAATTGAAAATACAGCCAATAGGAACTGAGACTATTAGATTTCAACCCATGTTTATTATAATACACGGTTTCAGATAGGTTGT